ATGAAATCCTGTTGCTTAGCATAGTAAGTCATAGGCAGAGCAAGTTCATTGAACCAATGGAATTTATGGAGAAGGTAACAGTCCTTCACTGATTCAATGGCCCTACTCTAGTCGTGACACCAAGCAACAGGATTTCAGCCATGATGTCACAATTTCCTGGTGAATGTTTTTGCACATTGCAAATACATTCATGGCATGTACACTTTAAATTTTTAGATGTACAGTCAAGTCATCTTGGATGTGTACTTGCTGTTGCAACCTACTCTGCATTAAGAGATACTTTTCTCTTTATCTCTGATTGTTGTTATGTGCTGTCACACTCATATAAAAAGACACAGATAGATGGTAATTTGTCCTTGGACCAAATCTGATTGTTAGTACCTACTAGAGTAGCCCACTTAATCAATGGGGTTTACGTAAGGGTTGGCAGTCATTCTCGTTCTTACAATGTATTCATTCTGAACTGAATTTAGTCCCTTGTGTGCCTTTTCAGGAGAGCCAGTTTGGTGTCGTTAGCAGAATTTCAGACTAGGGGTTGGTTGAACTAATTGGCTGCAGAGCCAGGACTTGAGAGTTCAATTCTTCTCCTGAGAGAAGAGCCAGCCTGTGTAGCTCTGGGCAAGCTACACAGTTCCAGAGAGGCCCCAGAAGAAGGGAAGGGTAAACCACTAGTGAGTACTTTAAACCTAGAAAACACTGAGAAAGATCACCATAAGTTGAAATCAGCTGGATAACTCACCATTAAATTAATGCCTTTACACATCCAAATCACAAAACTACTCTACTAAAGTCTGGGGACATCTGCAGTTTTCTGCCTCAGTGGTACACAGTTTACTAATCACCTTTCCTGTGCTCATCAACCTGGCCTGGTCTTCTGGCATAACATATCATCAGCCCTAAAGGTCTGGTCTATCACCATCTTTTACCATGTACAGACAGGTCAAATCTGGACAAATCTTTAAAGTCTGTGGACAAGATAAACCGTTCTCAGTTTGGTGCCCTACAGCAACCCCTGGTTTCCCTGCCCTAGTTACAGCCCTGGTACCAATAATTCAGTGGGCAGCATACTAGTGCTAGTGTTAGCTAGAGTACACCTTGATCAAAAGCCTATTCATGCACCTGCACCTGCAGAAGATTGATGACACCAGCAGCAGGGGCAATTTTTTTGGAAAGTGAACAGCTCCTACTTTTGTCCCACAGCTCCTGTCTAATCCCTTTTATGTTATCCTAGTGATGGCTATTTTCAGTAATTAAAGACTTCCTCCTCCTGTTTTGTGGGTCCCATGGCTCCCACACAATAAAAGTGATTACACAGGAACTGTGGGACAAAAATAGAAAGAGCTTAATTTCTGAAAAATCATGCCTGTTGATGACATCATCAGCCTTCTGTGGGTTTAGTTATGCAAACAGGATTTCAGCCATTGAATCAATAGCTGTTAGGTCAATATTTATGAAAAAAAACTCTAGTGAGTCAATGATTCTTCTCTGGAATAGTGGCCAAGGAGTCTACTCATGAGCACACCAGGAGTGGGCTAGAGTCTAGTTCGATGTAACAATCAGATTTAGCCCAAAGTTCCAGCCTTGGCTCCTGTTTCTAGTTCATTAGTTTACTATACTGAACTCCTTCTTTTCCCTTAAGGACCCAGACTTTTGTGTTACATGTAATGCTGCAAGACATATATTAGCTGATTAGCAATTTGGCTAGGAACAATGAATACTGAATCCAAGGAAGTGGAGATAACAGTAAATACAGGTCATGCCTGCCTGTCAAGAAAAGCTGAAACCATTGCTGGGTATGTGCAAGTTAGGGCTGGGGTGCACTGATCTAAACTTATCAGTTTGTTGCAAAAGGGAAAACTTAAAGGAAGAGATGTAAAGGGTTCACAAAAAGGACCCATACTTCATTCTGTCTACCTAAGTGAGTTCTTACATTTTTCAGACAAGCAAACATTGGCTGTGCCAAAATGAGGGCAGAAACTTTTGCTTTCACTCTGAGTTGGCTTTGTGACATCACCATATAGCTAAATCTGGGGGGACCTTGCAGGACCATCACAAAACCAAATGAGACTGAGGGCAAAGTTTCCTGACCTTACTCTCCTATTAAGCAACCAAAGCAAAATAATCATACTAACCATAAGCAAGAAATGTGGTTACTGTCGTTAACAGAGCTGTCATCAGTGGCTAGAATCCAATGGTGTGTGGATTTCTACTAGCAGAAGAATTAAATCCGGCTAAAAATGATGTTTGTGTCGGTGATTTCCATCTCCTTGCTTCACTCCTATTGAACCCAGCCCTCAAAACTAACTCTAGATGGCTAGGAAATTCTCCGGAACTGGGCTCTGGGCAATGCAGAAGAGTCAAGGGGGAAGGACAGGGGAGGAAGGGTCCAGCTCAACTACGGTAGTATGACAGTATTGGATTTAGCCCAGTGATAAGATGAATTCGTGTATTGCCTTTGTTTTTAGCTGCCGAAGGGCATCTCTGAATGGAATAAATCTTCACACGTGGCAAGCAGGGTAATGGTTTGCCATTTGAGCCCAGTCTTGGTATGTGTAGCAACTTTTCAAAAAGAAAAGAAATCAGAGCATTATGATTATAGTTAGCAAAAAAAGGAGGGGGAGAGAGAGTCAAGTCTGGGGTTTCAGAGCATGGGAAAGCTGCTCTGGTGACTTGCAGGAATATCCTGTTGTGTTTGGAAAGCTGAAGCTGTTTCAAGACTGGCAATGGGTACACACCCACTCCCTCTGTCTTTAGGTTCCCAAGAATCAGTAACAAAATGAGGAACAAGTGACTAAAGCAGAAGTAAATTCAGTGAAATCTTCTGAATAAATGATAAATTAAAGGAATACTGTAATCAAAGACTGACTTTTATGCATATTGTTGCTGTCTGTAATACTGGTTTTTAAAATTCAATATGTGAGTGTGTATGTGTGTAAGAGGAATTTTGCAGAGGAACAAAGCCTATGTTCTAGCTTGTTTATAGAGAGTTTATGTGCACAGATGCTGTTCTCAACATCTGGAGCTTATCAGCCAAATATATCTACTTGGCTAGTGCAAGAATGTCCATGTTTCAAAAGCATTGCAATTCAGTCTTCTCCTTTTGAACCCTT